CATGTACTATTCTCTGATGCTTTAAAAAACAAAAACAAGTCCTCTTTATATTTTAAAAATAAGAGGGTTTTTGTTTACACCTGTTGACTTTGTTGAGTTTTATGCTCAATACTAATAAAACTCATCTCTTTTCTGGTTCCTTTGTGCACATCTGTCTCTAGCCTCAACAGTTTTGGCTTTTGTACTACTCTTCCTGGTAAATGCCCACAGCGCTTTCAACAGATGCAGTTTAAGAGCCAGCAGCTACAGTAGTTCCTGTAAGCGATACAGCTGACAATAAACCAGATCCCCCCCCAAATGCACAGTATACAACCTGGCAAAATGAGGCATAATTTTCTCTTTCAGTTGCTGCTTTTTTTTTAAGAAGGGCACAGGTTGTTCTGTTGAAATTGTTTTTGAAGCTGATAAATCTAAAATGGCTAAATTTACATGAAGTAGCAGATACTCTTTTAAATTCATGGTTTCCTTTCTGAAATACATGGGACTGTAGTGCTAACATACTGACATAATGACATGAAAACTACATTTTTAATATTTCTTTAGGCTTATCATGGTCACCATCAAGCGCTAGAAGTGCTTGTGCAGTCGTTATTGGATCTTGATGTGAGGAACAATAATGGAAGAACACCACTGGATCTTGCAGCATTCAAGGGCCACGTTGAATGTGTGGATGTACTCATTAATCAGGGAGCATCAATCTTAGTGAAGGATTATGTTGTAAAGAGAACCCCAATACATGCTGCAGGTATGTTTTGCTGAGTACTCATTTAGCAAAACAGTTTTGGGATTGGGTTCTAGGAGAGTGTGGTAGCTATTTAATAGGTATATTTGTTCGCTTCCCTTAATGCCACGCCAATTATGGTGTCCTGTATGTGTGACAGGGATGTGGCCTTGCCTACGTCCTTTCAGGGCCCAATTTGTGGCCACCCAAATTAGATTTACATACCAGCAGTTATAGTTCTGTAGTGTTGCACTGCATGCTGTACCCTTCCAAATCTGAGTGGCAACCAAAATTATTTTACTTTCTAAACTGATCCAAAGGACTCTGGTAGTTTTGCAAAAAGGGAAAGGGGAAGACTGCAGTTTCCTTGTTTTTTTCAAGGATTACTGACCTCTTTACTGAGGGTTTTGGGGAAAAAATGAGTTGTAATTCCTTTATTTCCTGTTTCATTCCTGCGATAGTTTCCACAGATATACCTTTCTGAAGTATTCCTAATATTCACTTCTTTTGTCTTTTTGCAAATAGATTTTATATTTTTGGAAAAGTTGTTATAGCAGTAATGGCTTCATGAAAAGAATGTCCTGTTGAAAAGAGCATTCCCTAAAAAAAAACATTGTCTTGAGTTCCATAAGATTTATAGCCAACTCTTTGTTTGGCCTTGAATGCTCTGCTTCTTTTCACTTTCTCCCTCTTTAGTTTCCTGTAGCACTGCTAGCAACTTGGTTTGCAGAGTTCCTGCAGAGCCACATGAGTTACTACTCAGGAGCTGAGTGGAGTAGGAATATGCCAAAATATCTTCAGCCCAGGAAGCCTACTATATTTCTCAAAATATGCTTTTAAATAATCTCCCCTCAAGTTACTTTTCTTTTCACCTCTTGGCTTACCTTTCCTACTTATTGTCCATGTGTTCCCCTCTCCACTTGTTGGTGTGATCTCATTTTTCACCTCTTTACAGTTGCATGTATAATATACCTAGTATTGAAATCCGCATGTGTTGGTCAAAGCAGATGCTGGTTCATCATAGTGAATGTGTACTCACAGTGGCCTCTAGTAGAAACTGATTCATCTTCCTGGTTCATCATAGTGAATGTGTACTCACAGTGGCCTCTAGTAGAAACTGATTCATCTTCCTGGTTCATCATAGTGAATGTGTACTCACAGTGGCCTCTAGTAGAAACTGATTCATCTTCCTGGTTCATCATAGTGAATGTGTACTCACAGTGGGCTGTAGTAGAAACTGATTCATCTTCCACTACACTAAATATAATTTCATACTCAAGGATATCTAACATGGTTTTCATATTTTGCAGCTACAAATGGCCATTCAGAATGCTTGCGATTGTTGATAGGAAATGCAGAACCACAGAATGCAGTCGACATTCAAGATGGAAATGGCCAGTAAGTTTTAAAAGTCTATATTGTGATCATACAAAATATATTGCATCCTATAATGCTAAGAACAATTTTTATTTTAATTAGTGATTTTTTTAACAGATATTATATCATAATGTTAACAGAGATACCATATATCGTAATAATATACTTTAATGTACAATTAGTTATACATTTAATAGACTTTTGATAATGGAATATAAAGTAACCAAGAGGAGACAAATGAAGACTTCTCTGTTCACCAAACAAAGTGTGGTCTAATGGCAAAATTAGGAATTCTATATTGTACTCTTGGAAAAGTATTTACCTTTCTATATCTTTAAAGCAATATCAGTGCTGCTCGTGTGAATAAAGTACAAAAGACTATGAATCGTTTGTAAAAGAGCTTTTTCTAAGAACAAAAGTTTGTTTTCAGAGTGTTTTAAATATTTTAGCGGATCATAGACTATTAAAGTTTAACCTACATGGCAACTTCTTTTTCTCTGCTGTTCAGGACTCCTTTGATGTTGTCTGTTCTCAATGGGCACACAGACTGCGTTTATTCTTTGCTTAACAAAGGAGCAAATGTAGATGCCAAAGATAAATGGGGAAGGACAGCATTACACAGAGGGGTAAGAGAATGTTTTCCTTTGGTTCTTTTCAATAAAGCTTTAAATACAGATTGAGAACTTCTGCAGCTTGCATCACTTCTGCAATACTGATTTTTTTTTTTTCTTCAATTGACTTCAGTATTTTCTTTCACTTAGTTGGTCTTCTCTTTACTATTTTTGAATGTCTACTTTTTACCTTTTTGCAATTTACCCTGTATTTTAACTTTTTTTTCCTGAGTGCAGAAACACATGAGCTAGAAAAACAAAGTGTATTTTTTCCTATTGGGAAAATAGGAGAAGGAAGAGAAATAATATATCTGTATTGTTTTCTGTTTTACATAGAGCATGCCAAATGTTTTAAAGACTCTTCCAGATGAGACCATTAAGTCGGTCATGGAGATTACTGATTGCATTTTAAGTCTATCATTAAGCTAATAAGGATAGTTGACTGGGGTTTCTGTTGTTTTGTTGGGTTTTTTGTTTTTCCTTTAATGTTGCTCATTTGCTGAAGCAAGAACAATTGGGCTTTTTTTGCAGTCACAACCTTAAATATTAAGAGACTGAAAACCATTTTATTTCTGTGTTTTGAACTATACGTGCAAGTTGTAAACATACTCACATTTGTTTCTTTCCCTGCCAGGCAGTGACTGGCCACGAGGAATGTGTGGAAGCTCTGCTTCAACATGGTGCTAAGTCCTTATTACGAGACTGCAGGGGGCGAACACCTATACACTTGTCAGCTGCATGTGGCCATATTGGTGTTTTAGGAGCTCTTTTGCAGTCAGCAACATCTGTGGATACAGTACCTGCAATAGCAGACAATCATGGATATACGTCACTGCACTGGGCTTGTTATAATGGTAAGTACAAAGGAGCAAGAGGAGAATCTGGAGAAGAAAATACTTAACATCCAGAAGTTTCTTGTCCCCAGAACTCTTCCCAGATTCAGGTTGAGTTTGGAAATAATATAAAACTTCCCATGTTAAAAAAAAGGTTATTCTTAGAGGTTTATTTGCATCTGGTATCTAAAAAAATAACTTAAAAAAATTCAGACAACTTGCAAGTGAGGTTTTTCTGATTCGGAATCTTTCTAGATGACAAGACAACATATGGGTATATTCATCATGCACAAAACAGATTACTGAGTTTTAGGTTTTCAGGTGCTAGCACGTAAACTATTTTGCTAAAATATATTTTTTCATAGGCAACTTGCATACATGTGCATGATTTGTATGTAATAGCTCAAATTTTGACATGTTTTTCTGTTAATATTTGTACAAACATATTCATCTCTAGGTTAACTAAATGTGGCAGTGCTAAATCTTCCTGATTGGAAAGTCCTCTTTAGTTTGTGCATTACTCACCAAACACGCACTGTTCTGTTGACATAATTATTTGAGTCTTCTCTGTTTCTAAGCATAATGAATAGATTGTCCAGCCAATGTTTAGTAACTAGGATTTGGTCCAGTTCTGTTGACATCAGTGACGTCTATTGACGTCAGTGTTTGCTGCTGAGTTGAGTAGGAGCACAATCAAGCTTTTAGCTGAAATAAATAAAAAGGTTTTGCATATTACCTCTTTTTAGAGTTTATGAGTTACCATATTTGTTTCACATAGACTGCCTTTTCCTTTTTTGTGTTTCTAGTATATTATTTTAAAACGCAGTAATGCTGCAACATTAAATGGAAATTAAATAGTCAAATAATCAAAATAATTCCAGGTTTAAACATTAGCCAGGTTTTTTACTTGCCTTATGAGCGTCCCATCAAACCACATAGGCAGAAAAGTTGAGGAAAACATATTTTCGCCTTCCCTTTGCTTGTGTCTTCCCTTGCACCATGCTGTCTGAATGAAATAAAAAAATGGCTGCTCTTCATAGTTTCATAGTTGGTAGGGTCGGAAGGGACCTA